TGCAAAACAGAGACATGTGGATCTCATTGGGAGGCAGAGGGAGAAAGCGCTGGGGAATGGGCTCTTCTTGCTTATTTTTGTGTTTAAAGTGTGTGTGGGGGGTGGGGGGAGAATAACTTGGAGGAGACCGACTCCGGGGGCCAGGACATGGGCACAGGGGGGCATTGGGCTCCCATATCCTGGGCACGGGGTGGCGATGGAGGCTACAGGGCTGGGGGGGCTGCTTGGCTTCCCGCTGGCATGAACCCCTCTGTTTTCGTGGCTCTGCTGCTTGTGGTTTTCCCAGGACCAGGGTAGGAAATTGTAAGCTTCTCCCGGGCTTCCCCCCACCCCAAAGAAGCGGTTGTGGGGTGGGCAATAACTTGAAAGAGAGGGGACTCAGGGCTGGATCTGGCCCTGACACCCTGGGTGGGGGGAACTGGGTCTGGGCGGTGCTTGGTTTTCCGGGGAGGGGGGGAATCATCCCCCCCCCATAAAGCAGCTGTGTGATGGGTTTCTCTCTATGCTGGGGTCTTCTGCTGCCTGATCAGAGCAGCTCTGAGCAGAGAGGCCTGGGGAGGGGTTGTGGGGGGGCAGACCTGGGAAGATTCAGACTTTCTTTGCCTTCCACCCCCTGCTTGTGCCAACCAAATTTATATAAATGGACTTGTTCAGCTGAGTGGGGAAGGGGTAGGGGGCTGGAGTGGCGTATGGGGTGGGCCGTGCCATTCATGTGGCTGTAACACACGCGCGCACACACATGCACGCACGGTGCTGCTGAATGGGTTTCATCACTCTTCATTTCTCACTAAATAATTTTCTGTATCTTATCTAAATGAAAACCATTATTCTTCCCCCCATTTCAATCACTCGCTGTGATTGCGCCTCAAATTGAAATATTTATTCATTTTCCGGGCGATTCTTTTTTCTCTCTCTGTCTCTGGGTCCACCCTGCCCCCCCCCCCCTTCTTTCCTTTCAAGGAAAAAACTGCAAAATTGAAACAGAAAAGATTACAGCTAATTAGGAGGGAGATTGTGTGTGTGTGTGTGTGTAGGGGGTGGGGGGAGAGCAAATGTTTCATGCAGTGCACAAAAATCTTTAAGGGTTTGTGCACTTCTTAGATCTTTCCCTGCCCCCCCGGGGCCAGGGACATGGACAGCTTTGCCCCTGCAGCGAGGGAAGGAGGGGGTGTTTGAGACCTGGCTCATTCATTGCATGCAACAGAGCTGGCTTCAGGGCACCAAACCCCAGATCTCTTTGAAGGCCTCACCCCCCCGGGCATGCGGAAAGGAGCCGTGGGAGGGGCTGGGAGGCCAGCAGTCTTGGCCTCCCTGCAGGGGATGGAGGCCTTGTGGCTCAGGGATGGGGAATGGCGGGTAGGATGCCTGAGTTCCTTTCCTAGCTATGGGGATAAAGTGGGTTTAGGAGCACAACTGTGGCAGGGGGAGACTGGCTGTCTTGGCGACCCTCACAACCCAGCAGTGATGCTGCCTTTGAGCTGTGGGTCCTATCCTAAAGGATAATTTCACACAGGGTCTGTGTCTCCTGGGCTGTTTCCCCCCCACACCCTGTGCCCTCTCCTTCCCGAAGCTGGTGGGTAGAGCATAGCACTGCCAACAGCTCCCTGGAAGGGAGTGGGGTCTCAGGGTGAGAGCAGGGCTGTCTGGAAGTCAGGACAGCTGGCACGGGCCATGCAGCACTTCCACCCATGTCCCCACATGCACAGCGGGGATCAACCCCCCCCCCCCCTTTGCCAGCTGTGGCTCACATGTGTGTCCCAAGGAAGTGCACCCAGGCACCCTCCTCCCCTTCAGCCTGGGGTTTCCCCTCCTCTCGGTCCTGTCTGCAAGCACATTCCTGCGCCCTCCATCCCCTCCCTGCACCGTGACCCTGGCACCTCACGTGGTCTGGAGTGTGCGGGACCAGGCCCTTCATCAGTTGAGGAGATGGTGGTGGGGGGAAGAAAGAGAAAGAAAGGAGGAAAATAATTCCCGTGCCGTCGTGAACTCAACTGTTATTTTTCCATCTGCCACAGAGTACGTCGTTGGTGAATGAGGTTTTCAGTATTCAGTCTAGATGGATAGAGAGACAGAAGTGGGGAGGGAGGTAGGGAGGGAGGGATGGATGGATGGAGGGGTGTATATGGATGGTGACAAAGGAGCATTTGTGGGGGGGGTGGATGGACAGGAGTGTATTTGGGGCTGGGGGGGGTAGAGGGGTCTGTCTGGGGTGGATGGCTCCAACTCTACAGGGCACCATAAGGATACAGACAGACTGACAGAGGTCCGGATGGGGATGATGGGGGGGACGGGGGTTGTGGGGGCAGCTACACCTCCCCCCACCCCGAGATGGTCCTTTCCAGCAAAGCACAGGGGTCACTGGTGTAGAGAGTTGCTTTGAGTCTCAGCTCCATGCTCGCTCCCTCATCACCACCCCCCCACCCGCGACACCCGTGTCCTCACGCGCCTGCCAGACACCCCCCCAGGGAGCACCAGGTAAATATTGTGAGCGGCGCGCGGGCGTAATAGCAGTCTGACTGCAGATTGATTAGTGCTGTGTGGAAACTCTGCCTGGCGCCCCCCACACACCCACCCACGCCTGCCGGCTGCTGCCTCTGCCGCTCGCTGCCGGAGCCCCACGCCCAGGCCCAGCTGGGCCCGGGGTCCTGGGTCCTGCGCATGGGCAGGGAGTCCTGGGTCCTGCGCATGGGCTAGGGGGGCAGCTTAACCCTTTGGAGAATGGAGGAAGGTCACGCCAGTGGGTGCACATCTGTCTGCCCTGGGATGACGCGTGTCCGTCTGTGTGCATCCATAGCTGTCTGTCTTGCCGTGCGTAGTCCCGTCTGTGTAGGGTGTCTGCCCACCCCCTGAGCCGCTTGCCTCTGTCTGTCTGTGTCTCCCTACACACCTTTCCGTCCCAGATTTTTTTTCTCCCTCCCTCTCTTCTTGCTGTGTCTGTCACCATAACACCTTGCTGGCTTCCACCCTCCACGTGCTGGCCGTGTCAGAGTGAAGGCAGCCCGCCTGGCCCTGCTAGGTCTGGTGGAGTGGGGGTTGCCCCATAGCCCAGCCCCTGTCCAAGAGGCCACACAAGCACCAGGGTCCCCTGCCTCACAGCCCTTGGGGAACCTCATGGGGCCACATCCACAGTCCCTGAGGCAGTGAGCAGTGCTGGGAGGATTTTAGGGGAGAGGGTGGAATTGCAATTCTGCCTTGCAATTACACCTTCCATGCTGGAGCTGCAACCCACCAGCCTTGGAGCCCCCCACCAGCGTGGGGGAAGGGGCTCTGGGGCTTGGGGCGCTGCTCTGGATGGCTGGGGATCCACTCCCCCGATCTGCCCCAGCCCTGAGCCCTCTCCCCCAGCACCCCCAGGCTCGATGCATGCAGCCTGCCGTCCCTCCCGGAGCTGCTGGCTCGCAGATCGATGCCATCAGCTGCAGGCACATGGTCGGCCCACGGGGCCACTGTCACGCTGGGGCTCTGACAGCCGCATGAGGGAGGGAGGGCTGGCATTTGGCCTGCAGCGGGGCGGGGAGAGGCTTTAGCACCCCCCAACCCCACCAGTCCAGATCCAGGGGTTTCCTGCAGCACCCTGCCCTGCTCCATGCCAGTACAGACATCCAGCAGGGCTGTGACAGCGCCAGAAGGAGCTCCCCGTGTTTCCCGGGGAACAGAAAAGTGCCCCCCAGGCCAGACAGCATGGCTGTGGGCACTGGAAGAGGGCACAGTGCCCCGATCCCTCCTGGGAGCCCGCCCTCGGCTGTCTGCTCCTGGCATGCGCTAGGTTCGTGCTATGCTGATTGCACCTGACACCTGTCAGGCAAGCACCCCTGTGCCAGCTCTGCCACCTCTGCTCAGCTCCCCCACCCCCAGAGGCTTCCCACATTGTGCCCAGGTCCTCCCCTGCTGGCAGCCTCCCCAGTTCCCTGCCCCGGAGCAGCTCAGCTGGGTAGGAGGGGAGGCTTGGGAGGGCAGATGTCCCCCCAGAGAGGACCTATCCCCTGTCCCCCAGCCTGCTACCCACTTCTGCTCTGCTCTGTACCTCAGGCTAGCCCATGGCTCCCTGCTCCTGAATTGGTGCTCTGTGCAGTCAAGCCATTCGCAAGGAGCAGTGTCTGCTGGCTGGAACAGAGGAGATTTGCCCTGCTCCAAGCCAGGGGAAATCTGCTGCTGAAACCTTAGTGCTTTGCAGGGCTCCCACCACATAGCCACTGCTTTCCCTGGAGTCCTGGGGTTCACCAACCCCATCCTGGAGCCATGGCTGTGGGGGACCAGCACCAAGGGAGCAAGCTCAGCCCCACTGCCAAGCATCAGGGACCTGTGGGAGAGTGAACTGCAGAATTGCAGGAGCGGGGGCTGCCTAGTTACCCATCCTAGGACCATTGAGCTGCTCTCAGCCACCTCCCTTCCCGTCTGGGCAGTGACAGTACCCTCGCCTGCCCTGAGGGTGCCTGTGTCATGTTGGGGGGTTGCCAGCTTGCTGCTGGGGGGCGTTATCAGAAGTAGAGTTAATGTGGTGATTTGGGGGTTTGGCAGGTCACCATCTGTCTTCAAACACAGGGATGCAATGGCTGCGGGGTCTCTCCCAGCCCCGTGCTGATGCAATTCCCCTCCAGCCCTCCCAAGTGAACTATGCCTTGCTGGCGGCTACCTGCCCCCGGGATGCCACACTGCCCGGCCTGCCCATCTGTGTGTAGACATAACTAAACGCCCCCCCAGGTTCCTTGTGGAGAGTCCTCCTGGCTCCTCACGTGATCCAACTATGTCATCCTGCCTTTCAGGCCCAGAACAACTTCTTTTCTTTGCCTTGTTATTAGCAGTTGTTGCATCTCCTGACGAGCCCTCCTCCCTGCTTTCCCTCCTAATCTCCTATACAGTCGTATCATCCTCAGCTCTGCCAAGCACGGTGCCTTCAGCTTCCCTTATCATCGCTCTACGCTGCCTGCCTTCGTCTCCAGACCTCGCGATGCTCTGTCCTCCTCACTTGCTTTGAATTTTCGATCCATTTCTAGCTGCTGCCTTCACCTCCCCTCTGGCCCAAAACTCTGGGTGCAAGATCCACACTCCTCGGAGAACCCTCCTCTTCATTCAGGTTCTTCCTCCCACTCGGTTTCACTCATCGTTTCCCTCTGATGCCTTCCTGACGCGCCCGGTAGAGATGCCTCGGGTTGGGGCTGTCCTTTGTTTTGCCTTATTGAGCGTAATCAGGTCATGATTACTGGTCTCCAGGCAACCGCAAACTTCCCGTGATTAATTCATACATTATAACGAGGTCCAAAATAGAGTTACCGCATGTTGGGTGCAGCCTGTCAGCGCTAGGAAATCGTCTTCTTGCGAGGTGTCTTACCCGGTGTCACCTAAAACCAACTCCCTCGGCATGGCGTGTGTGACAGGGGTGTAAAGGAGCAGCAGCCCCCATGTGCTAGGATGATTTTGGGGCCTGGGCAATTTGCCCTGTGATCTCTGTGCAGAGACAGTACAGTAGTGCCGAGTTATCTTTAAGACGCCCACAGGGACACGTGTGATGCACACATGCCCTTACGGGGACATGCATGGGTATACGTGTGCACACAGTGAGCATGCACTGTGCATAGGGCTGCAGGTACCCCACGAGGCACCGTGCCCCCATGCACAGCACCCGTAGCCGCATCCCCACTGGAGGCCACGAGCATCCTCTGTCCAGCCTCCCTCCCCCTGTGCAGGGCACCCAGCCCTGGTAACACAGGGATTATAGCTAACTCTTCATAAAGATTCCCCTAATTGCTTGCCTTACCTCAGGTTTTATCATCAAAGCATCCGTTATTCCCTCTCTAGCCTCCTTTTCTTTTTATTATCTCTTAATTAATCACTCTGGCTTTCACACTTAGCAGATAATTACAGTCTCCTGGGCACACAGCTCATTTTCATAACCTCCTGCTCCCAGCCGAGAGTGGGCTTGAGTGGGGGGGAACGGGAGGAAAGAGGGAAGGAGAAAGGGGAGGATGGAGGAAAGAGGCAAGGGGGTGACCTGTTGCCCGTGTCAGGAAGGATAAGGGACCTACCACTGCTGCAGGCCTCATGTCAAGCCCCACTGAATTCAGGCCTGAGGGACTGGGGGGCTATGGGGTCTCTGCCCTGGGAGGTGGGGATGAGTGGAGGGTTTTATGGAGCATGGAGAGGGGAGAGTGCAGCTGGGGGCAGCACCTGGTTCGCGGGACCCAGCCTGGCATCGGCAGAGGTACCAAGAGAGGGACCCCCCTGTGCCCCTTGGGGCTTAAGCCCTGCCTGCAGCCAGCCCCCCAGGCAGGGATGAGGGTGATGGGCAGTGAGCAGGACACCAACCTAGGTGTCAACCACACTGTATGAATGGGTGGCTTCTCCCAGCTCTGTGCCTCAGTTTCCCCTTCTGCCTTGTGCCTCTTAGCTTAGAGCTGGCACGAGAGCGGACTCCTTTGTGCATGGCGTATAATAGGTACAAAAGGTCCCTATTGCCTATTGAGATGGCAAGCTTTGGGGACCTGTCTCTGCCCAGGCGTCCATGCTGGGGGCTGGGGTCTCCAGGATGTCCTGTGGGTGTCTGAGGGGGGCGGAGGTCAGAAAGGATGGAGCGGAAAGTCTCGACTGGCTTTTCTCTGGGCGCAGAAGAGAGGATACGCACCAGCCCCATCCCTGTGTGGTATTTGGCAGACTGCAGCAGCTGCCTGGTTTGTGTCTGAGGAGGCCGCGTCCTTCCCAGGCTGCATCTCGGCCAGGGGCGCGGAGACCTGGGGCCCTAGAGAGCCCCAGCACAGATGTGAGGGGCCTGCTGCAATCCCAGGAGTCCAGGAGCTGGGGCTTGAGGGACAGCTCCATGAGCTCATGAGGAAGGAGCAAGGCACTGGCACTTGATCAGCCTAGTCTGCAGAGGATCTGGGCTGATGCAGCGGGGTGTGTAGGGGAGATGGCATCAGCCCTGCCGAGCTCCCAACTCCATCCGCACCCAGGCTGCGTCTGGTCTCCCCCGCTCCAAGCCCTCAGTTTTTCCCAGTGTGGGCGGAGTGGCGTCTCCTCTCCCC